ATCTTAGATGGCTGCTCACAGGCTTTTAAGACCCCAGACGCTACTCACCAAGGTAGAATGTAGAACACTGTCTTTATAAACTGTGTTATGCCAATTGAGCTAGATGTTCCCTGAAACAATGGTCCCAACAGCCCTCCACCCAGCAATTCAGTCCCTCAGGGAGTTTGGATGTGTCTATGGAGCTTCCATGACCTTTCCTTGTACAAGTTGTGCTGGTTTCCCCCGTATTGTGTATTGTCTCACCCTTCAGGGCCATTCTCGCAGGGGTGAAATGGTATCTCATCATGGTTTTGATTTGCATTTCTCTAATGGCTAATGATCGTGAACATCTTTTCATGTATTTGTTGGCTGCCTGAATATCCTCTTTGGTGAAGTATCTGTTCATGTTCTTTGCCCATTTTATGTCTAGGTTGTTTGCCTGTTTATTGTTGAGTTGTTTAAGTTTTCTATCTATTTTAGAGATTAGACCTTTTTTAGGTATGTTGTTGCCAAAGATTTGCCTCGTCTGTAGCTTCTCTTTTTATTCTCTTGATAAAGTCTTTTGATGAGCATAAGTAATTTTTAGGAGGTCCCAGTCATCTAGCTTATCTTCTGGAGTTTGTGCACCCCAACATCTTTTTAACAAGTCTAAATTGCTACATCCAATTTCCCCCATTATGTAGTCATGCAATTGTATTATTCTTCATCCCTGTTAAACCTGGTCCCTCTCAAGTCTAATCCAAACATCCAACGAAGTGAGGCACCTTTTATTTGTTGTCACCTGGGCAGCAGGTCCAGTCCTAATCCATGTCTTCACAAACCCCCACTTGAAATCCCTGTCTTGTTCTTCTCTCTAGAATTCTCACCACTTTTTTCTTTTTTCCAATAATGGAAGATAAAAGAAGGAACATATAAGGAATCTACTTTTTCTCTGAAATATGGAAAAATCTTACTTCAGTCGTCTGTACAACCAGATACTCGGCACCAACACAGTCTTTTCCTTTTCTTATAGGGTCTGTTGGGGAGAGAGGGGTAGATTCAGAGTTAAGGGGAAGATTTCTAGAGGAACATGCCATCTTTGGGAAGAGGAACAGGACCCAGCAAGTTCAGCTGAGGGAACAGAAGAAGAATGAAGATTTAGCGTGCCAAGCAGGCTCTCATGAACAAAGATGAAGACGTGGCTTTAAAACTGTGCTAAAAACAGGAAAGATCAGGGCCTCCCTCCACTTAAGAGCCAAACATACCCCAGGGATAATTTTTATTTTTACTCCCCGTATACTCTCTGGTTCTAACAATTAAACCCCTTTTAAAAACAAAAAAAAACCTGCTGCCATCCTCTTTTAAAAACAAACCGTTGCCGTCAAGTTGATTCCAACTCATAGTGACCCTATAGGACAGAGCAGAACTGCCCCATTGGGTTTCCAAGGAGTGGCTGGTGGACTCAAACTGTCAATCTTTTGGTTAGCAGCTGAGCTCTTAACCAGTGTACCACCAAGCCTATCTGAAACCAAACCAACTGTCGTCGAGTTGATTCCAACTCACAGCAACCCTAAAGGATAGAGTAGAATTATCCCATAGTTTCCAAGGAACAGCTGGTGGATTTGAACTGCCGACCTTCTGGTTAGCAGCTGAACTCTTAACCACTGTACCACCAGGGCTCCTTAAATCCCTTAGGAGACCCTAAATAGGTTCTCAACTCATTTTAAGATTATTTTACTTCATATGACCTCACTTACATTTAAAAAAAAAAAAAGGCAAATGTAGAAAGCCAAAAGGTTATTAGTGATTATCAGGGGCAAGACAGAGAAGGAAAGGGGGGGTTATCGGTGATGGAAAAATTGCACTGATTAAGGGGTAGGGTTGCATAGCCAATTATTGTAATTGCTATCAATAAGTTATACACCTGTAAAAAGCTGAACTGGCAAAATCTGTGTGATAGATGTATTTACAACAACAACCAAAAAAAGTAACTGCTTATGTACAATCAAAAACTTCATGGGATTTGGTTCCTTGGTTAGGTTTAGGGTCATGGTTTCATGGGACATCCCAGTTAACTGGCCTAATAACATGTTTAGTGCTTCTGTTCTACCTCCTAGTTTGTTGCACAGTGCCTGGGGTCTTAACAGCTTGCAAGCAGCCACCCAAGGCACAATTATTGGTCTCTATTTGCCTGAAGCAACAGAAGAAGGAAAATCAGGTATAGGTGGAGGATATGGAATGAGTGGCTAACTGCCTCCATGATACCAGAACTGGATAGTGCTCGACTACAGTTACTGAACATTTTGATCAAAGATCCTATAGAAGAATCTCAATCAAAAGAGGAAAAATACAGAACAGAATTTCAAATTCTCATGGACTCCAGACTTTCTGGAGCCATGGAGGCTAGGTGAACTCCTGAAAGTACTGCCCTGAGATAATCTTTAAACCTTAAACCAAAACTATCCCTTGAAGTCTTCTTAAAAATCAAACAATAGTTTGGCTTAACTGGTAAAAATGTCTGCCTTGAGCATTATGCTCTTTTAAGAATTATTTATGTGGGATCAAAGTGACAACAACTTAAAAGATTATACAGGAACCTTAGGGGACAGTGAATTTATGTTAATGAGGAACAACTCAAAAAAGGAGGGTGAGAATGGCTGCACAACTCTAAGAATGTAATCAATGTGGAAACAGGTGAACTGGTATATGTTTTGCTGTGTATAGTCTCAACAACAACAACAAAATTAAACTTTAAAAAAGATTATTTTATTTTTTTGATTGGGAAGGGTATGGAAACTGTGAGGCTGTATTCCATTCTATGATAAATATGAAAAAGATGCTAACTGGAAGCAATATTTGGTAGTAAGTAGAAAAGAAAGTTTGATTTTTAAGACGTTGTTGGCAGAGGAAAGAGGAATGTGTTTCTGCGTACTGACCTGGTATCAAAAAAAAAAAAAAAAAAAAAAAATCCAAGAAAGAATGCTTAATGGATTTTCAGGTTTCCAGTTGAAACACCACTTACCATACAGAGTAGCTTACTTCTATAGTACAACTGCTACTTGGCCTCATGAGAATTAGATTTGCGGCTAGACCTAAGAACCCAACCACCATGTTCCAGTAACCACAGAGCCTAGATTTTCCAGGAAAATGCCAATTTTCTCATCTGTTGTCCTCATAAATCATCAAAAAGTCCTATAAATATAAATACTTATGTGCCCAAATCCTTTCCTAGACAGTAAGCTGGTTTAGAAAATAAAGACACTGTACCACTACGAATAACACTATTTCTATGATAAAGTAAATTTCTGTTTCAAACAAGTAGTTTCCAAAGATACTTCTAAAATAACGCCTACTTCTGGGTTGGGAATTGGATGAATGTACAAGGGGAGAATACTATTCTCTCTAACTGATTAAAATAATTCTAACTAATAGTAGTTTCTTTCAGTTCATTTTATAAATTGCTACAAAGTCCCAGACTACATTTTCCTTCGAAATGCCTTCTGATTAAAAATCTATTACAGTAACGTCTCATTTGATTTATATTTGATTCCCTTCATCCAGGGCAGTGGTTCTCAACCTGGGGAACGTACTAGGATCATCTGCGGAGTTTTTCCAAATACATTCTCTAGGCTTCTGGCCTGGAACTGTGAAAGTCTGGGAGGAGGCCTGGGCTTGTGTGTTTTGACCAGGGCTTTGAACCGTTTCTCCCTGGTTCAGTCATGGCTGAGGAGGCATCACCAGAACAGACTCGAATTTTTAAAGTTACAGTGATTCAGAAAGATAGCCGGACGGGAAAAATTTGGGGTCGGAGCCCTGCTAGAAACTTAATCTCCTGTTAGAGAACAAGGGCAGTGTACACGTTACATAGCAACCAAATTTCTTGCCCTCAGATCTTGAGCACAGTCCGAAGCAGCGCTGCCCCACTGAAAGATGGCAGCACGGTTGTGCTGCTTTGAATGTGTGTCTATCTCTACAGTCCTGCCGATAATCCAATCTCACACATCTGGCTCCTGAAAGGGCTCACTATACCTCTTCCAACTCTCCCATTCCAGGGCTTAGACCCATAAATTTTCCCCAGGTAACACGCCAAATCTCCAAAATTGTTAAAACTTCAGGTCTGTCCATGTTTCACTTTGTCAGCCATGACTGAGCCGGTTTGAAGCCCTAGTTTTGACAAATCTATGTGAAGAGTGTACTGCATATCCTAGCAGAGAATCACATATTTAGGTGGGCAAGGATAGGAGCTAGAATGCTGGTCTCAAGGAATTAAGTCTCCCATTCTTAAAGCGAACTGACCGAAAGTATGACTATAACCAGACAAAACCGCATAATCAAAATTAACAGGAGAGAAAGAACCGAAAAAGACAGACCAGTAAGTTGGGAATGACCTAGGGAACATCTGCTTCTGCTTATAGCACCATCAACTATTTTGTAACAGAGTTAACCTACTCAAAATTTATTATCTTTTTAAAAAGCATATTCCAGGCTCAGGAGGCAGTATAAACGTCCTAGATGTGATGTTCAGCTTTCAGGCACAATTATCAGACTCAGTGTCATGGATCAAGGTGGCTGACAACCCACTGCAGTTCCATCTGTAAGTTAGGATCTGATGTGATGTTTGGCTTTTGTTGCGGTTCTAAGATAAGTTTCTAAAAAGTTCAGTTCAAAATCATGACCCACATACTTTCAAATCAAGGTATTATTTTTTCTAATCTGTTTTATCTATTAAAAAATTTAAAGCTGACTAGAAGTACTTTTAGTTTGTCATTTCTGCTCTTCAGTGAAGACAAACACCCAACCTTAATTACTCTACACCCACCCTCTCTTTTCAAGTGGATTGGAGGCTATGTCAGCAGCAGTGTGAAATCTAAACACAAGATATTCTAATGACTTTTAAAAAGAAAAAAAAAAAAAAAGCTTACCTTTGGTTTTTTGTTCCGTGACCTGCAAAATAAATTAACAATCATAAGTAAATGAGATTGGCTTTCTAATTCAGTACTATTTTATAAGACTACTTTGATTCTCTCCACTCAAGTATAGCTCAAGTTGTCAGATACCCCTGCATAGTTAAAATCCAAAAAATGAACCTGGGATTTTGTTCAGACATCCTTCTAAGGACAATGGCCACCAGCTACAACCTGCATTTGGAAGGATACTAAAAATAAAACAGAAAGCATTCGGCCGTCATTCAGTCACGAGGTCCCCGTACTGGAAATGCTGGTTGCCATTTTGATTGCTGTGACTAGAGATAATCAAGTGGACGTGGCCCAGAAACTAAATTATCCATATAGACAAAAAGACCTCCCTGTGAGTATAGACTCAAACACTAGATCTCAAATCTAGAAAGCAAAAAGCTCTAGGGCCTATCATCAGAGGCAGGTGAAGGTTATGGTCAGAGAACAGGATTCAAAACCAAGCCCTGCTACTTCCTGGTTATCTGATCTCAGTTTTCTCTGTATCTGCTGAATGGAGATAGTAACAGTATCTCCCTGCAAAGGGTTGTTGTGAGGATTAAATCAACTATCCTGCGTGAATGTTCAATAAATGTTTGCTGTTATTATCAAAGTTTATATAAAGTAGCACGAAATAAAACAGTAAGACTGAAATATGTAAATTCTGAACAATAAAGAATGCTTTGTTAAAAGTGTTCCTTTATATAGTAACTAATGTATCTGTGGAAGTGATTAACCTAAAAGGTTGAACAGGGTGAATATAATAATGGTTTTTTAAGAGAGTATGGAAATGATGAATAGGGGCCATGTAGAAGTCTGCTTCTGATATTGTTTTTAAAAAGGAAAAATAAAGGAGGGCACCTAATTATACATGCTCTGTCATATAAAAACAAACCCACAAAAGATCATGCATAAGAAAAACACCCAAAAGGAAATACACCAGAATTCTGAACATGGTTATGTTACATTATTGAGATTACAGGTTATTTTGAATCTCTTTTCCCAAATGTTTATCTTCCAAAGCATTTTATATTGGTTATCTTACTTTTGTAATGAAAATATTCATCTAGAAAAGAAGAGATTTGATTATCTGTGGCTGGTAACATACTAAGTTACTGTTATGGGTGTTTATGAAAACACACCCATCTTTGGAGGGTCTTTCCTGTAGCTAACCAGCCACTTCACAATTTATTCTGGCACACACCATTGTCAGACACTGCCTCTGAGTTAAACAATCTACCTGCATGGCCTCCTAGAGTGTTTCTTACATTCTTGCACTAAAGGAAAAGCTAATTTCATACTGAATTTGTGGTAGACAAATCCTTAAAATGAATGAAGTGCTTCCTAGTACTAACTGTTACAGATCTAAATTCTAAATACCCTTTTCTAATTTTTCTGTAATCCCACTTATCCAAGAATGAACTGATTTGCATCTATATACCAATTCCTTAAGGCGATTTAGGCTTTATACCATTCTAAGTATTTGTTAGAATGTCATTTTGAAGATCAGTTAAAGCAGGAAGCCAGTGCCTTCTCCAGTTATAAACAACAAACCCAAATAATGTCAGCTGTCTTCTAATGTGGGTACCGTTAAAAGAGGTGTCCCCCAGTTGAAAAGCTGGATGATCAAAGCATGTGTTCTGCCAACATTAAACAATGCTCCTTTAGTGCATCAGCCTAATGACTGTGAATGGAATCCTTCTTTGACACCTCTCTCGTGAATGGAAACCTAACAGTTTTATCAGTGATGGCTCTAGAAAAAGCAAACAGCCACAGCCGCTGAATACAATGGAAAGCTCATGTTTAATTTCTGTGTGGAAGTAATTTATTTAAGCTTTAGATAAAAGTCAATTCTTTAAGAAAATTACGTTCCCATCATTCATTCTTGGCCATTCACTCATTCAACAAACATTTCTTGAGAGCCTATTATGCATCAGGCACTGCCCTGGTTACTGGAAACCCAAAATTTCAAGAAACTTAGTCATGCTAAGAGGGGAGACAGGCACAAAGAAAAGATTACAAAGCAACGGGGTGAAATAGCATGAAAGCAATAAGAAGAGCCACCACAAATGTTTGCTGACTGACTGAATGAATGGCTGTATAACAGAGCTTCTGGCACATTCTCCACAATTCTTTGCAGTATAGCACATTTTATGCCTCCTGGTTGAAGCACTGTCTCTACAATAAGGTTGAAAGTCACTAAGACAATCACATGGTAAGCTTTGTACTCTCTCCTTACAACTGCTAAATCAGAATTTAAATCTGAAATTACACAATGGTTCAATATAATAAAACACTATCGAAGGCCACGTGTCAGCCTGTGTCAGCCAGATCCTGTGTCAGCCAATCTAGAACGTTTTTAAACAAAAATCCCTGCATTTTTATTGTTCATAATAAACCACACTGAAATTCTATTTACAGTGATTTTCCTCTTTGCTGTCACTTCTTAACCAATTCTTAATGCAGACAGATGCAAGCACCCAGAGGGAGACTGTCCAGGGTGCATAAACTACATTCTCAACATAAATAATGCCAACTCACTCTAGAACACACCCAACACCATCTTTTATTTTTCTATTCGTGAGATCCACAATGTAAATTTACAGATGCATATGTTAACCATTTAGAGATGCTGATCATTTTCGTTTTAAGAAAACACTGTTATCTGTGTTAGAAATGAAGATGGAGTGTGGTTTGTCTAAAACAATTGCTCTATTTAACATCTTCTTGTCAACAGCCTTTCTTCAAGTCCCCGGTGTCCAGTTTATTAACAATCTGTTCCCACCAGCTGCAAAATCCAATTTTTGTCTGAATTTAAGTGGATGAAATATGAGTGCCCTGAAGGAAGAAAAGTCTTCACTGAGGATCAACTTCACATCACCCGAGTTGGAGGGGTCAGTGTGTACAGGGCACAGGGCCAAGAGCCCAGCAGTCCCACTGGCCCAGGAATGCCCCACAACTGGTGGGCCTGAACATCACAACCTCGATGACATGGAATGTGGCTGTGTACCCAAAAGGACATACAAAGCAGCCTCTGAGTCATGATTTGACTTTTTTATTCATCACTCTTTACTGTCATTTTAGACAATTCTAACAAGCTCAGGTAACAGATTAGAGGCAACACACTGGAAGCAGATACCCTGGTAGCAGGAAGATGTGCCGATGAGCACGCAACTATTAACAAAAACAGAAACACAATTAAAAACAGACAAGATCTTAAAGAGCACAGCAGTCTATTACAGCACCAAACAAGAATGAATGTTCCTTTTAATTAAGTCATGGAGAAAGATAAAATTACATTTCATATGTTAAACATGGTAAGGTCATATACAATCCAATTAAGAAAATACTTCAGGATTTCTTTTTTTTTTTAAATGCTGGTACTCATAAATGATTTATTTCAATAATTCGGAAAACTGCATTATGGGAAACTCTATACCCAATAATGCTGGAATTATTTGTGGTGCTCATTATACCTTGCATTGACTCATGTTCCATTAATTGGCTTGACTACTCTAAATCTAGTGTTCCCTTGAACTTCTTAACAGTTTCCACCTTCCTAAACTTAGCTTTGATAACCTAGCATCACGGCCGGGACCCTAAAATGTGCCCCACAGCCAGGCCCTGCTTCTCAAGTGCTTCAAGTAGTGGCAACAAAAAATGGAGTCAAATCTTCTTGCCTCCAAAAAACGTGCCAAAGCAACCCTGCCCAGCCAGAGCTGGGCGACAATAGAGTAGGGAGGCAGGAAAAGTAAGTAAGATCAGACAACGGCCAACACAGAAGAACATGTTCTGAAAGGGCGTGGGGGACGTGCGCTAACCACTGTTGCTCCAGACAGCTCTCAGACAAACCCTTCAGGGAAGACTTTCAGTTGACAGGTGCTGGCCCTATGTCCTTTTTCTTTCAGCATCTTTTCTTTCTCCCTATGCAAATTCCACAAAGACAGAGCAACCTCCACACAATGCTATAGCCTACAAAGCACTACGCAGGCTCACTGGACCCTCTTTGAGGGGATACTTTAAGGAATTATTAAAATGACACTTGCCTCAGGCAGACTCATCTTAAGGACAATGCTGTGGATGGACTAAAAACAGAACATCAGAGCAAACTTCAGCAACCTTTTAAAAGTCCTTCTACAAACTTGCTAAAGGAAGTGGAGATTAAGTTACGACACCAATGAGGAAACACAAGAGTTGAGTGTTTGGTAACTCTCTTGACTTTGTCAAAATTGTTGACTGTTGTTCTCATAAAATCAGCTGCAGCATTATTTAATGTCTACTTGTTAACTTTCTCCTACCGTGAAATTTTAAAACTTTTGAAATAAACTAATGCCTCAAATAGCATTATTGAAATGTTAGGTATCCAAGCCAAGAGCGTTGTCTATTCTGGCTTGGATACCTGGCAAGTACAAACAGATTTAACTGATTAAACCCACCTTCTGAGTGGCTTCTTTTTTCTTTTTATCCTCTTTCTTCCTTTTCTTGTCTTCCATTAACTGTTCTTCCCTTTCTTGCTCCTTCTCTCTGTTAAAGTAATGTCACACCAGAAGGTTACTCATCTATATTCACAGTCGACTTACGTAGCAAATTAAATGCTTACAACATGGTATGCAAGGCAACACTTCATCTCCGTGACTGGGCAGAACACAGTCTTTTACTTACACTAAGAAGACGCATAAAACTCACCACAAATTAGCCATTCCCATTATCTCGTTTTGTTACCCCTTTTGCAAAACATGACATTAAGTGTGGTTTCAAAGCAGCTCGTTAAAGTGAGCTTTTATAATATCTTCCTAAAGAAACACACACACACAGAACTCATGTATTTCCACTCAGCAAAGGACCTGACTTGAATATATGACATCCAACTGGTTTCTGGCAATTTCCTCACAAATAATGCAGAATATATTAATTCAGTAATGGTACACACGTATTTATCATACTTTAGGTGTTTTTGTGTGACATCTTCAGAGCGGTAAAGTGAACATAAAACTCTCTCCATTCCACATTTCTTCTACATTATTAATACTGTATATTTTGCATATTTTCTACTTGTGTCTTTAGGCAGGTACTGAGTGTCCTATAAATCAATGTGTTTCCTACTGGAAGAATTCACAATTGCACCCTCCTGCACAAGTGAGTTAAGACAATCAGGTTTTGTGTCCCTCAATTAGAATAAAAATAATACACAATAAGAAACATTTCGGGTTAAAGAAATGTGCTGAATCTTAAGAAATTAAGATAATATAATTTATACCTCACATTTGAAAAGTAACTTTGAAATATAACATTTATTCTAATGCTGCCAACTTTCATTCTATGTCTCAACTGGGAAAAACGCATAAACAACCACTGGTACAACCTCTCAGCTCAAGAAAGGAAACCCCAGACCCGAGGCTTATTGAATTTCAGAGCTGGAAGGAGAGACAGAGATCCAGTTCCCAGTTCCCCAGGGAACTGAACAACCCAACAGATACTGCCTGGAGGGCTTCTTATGATTTTAGATGATCTAACACATCGAACAAATCTGTCTTGGAAGAAGTACAGCCAGAATGCTCCTTGGAAGCGAGGATGGCGAGACTTGGTCTCACGTACTTTGGACATGTTATCAGGAGGGACCAGTCCCTGTAGAAGGACATCATGCTTGGTAAAGTAGAAGGTCAGCAAAAAGAAGACGACCTTCAACAAGATAGACTGACATAGTGGCTGCAACAAAGGGCTCAAACATAGCAACAATTGTGAGGATGGTGCAGGACCCAGCAGTCTTTCATTTTGTTATGCACAGGGTCGCTATGAGTTGAAACTGACTCAATGGCACCTCACAACAATACATCAAATTCATAGTCTTCCTAGAACAAGGGTAAGGTAAATGTGAGTCAAAGTAAAGAATATACATACACAAAAGCCTAAAGTACACAATTCAAACTCTAAAGGTAATGTCCATGAAAACTTTTTAAAAAATCCAAGAGAATGTTACTGAAATCTTCTTAGGTCTCATGCTGGATTTCTTTGGAGTTAGATTAGATTATCTGTACATCTGTCTACGTGTGTGAAGTTCTTGGTGAAAACCCACCTACAGCAGCGCACTATTTTTAAAAAATGGGCTCACGAAAATTGGCAAGATAGATGTTGACCATCTAAAGCAGGCCGGCCACAGGTCCCATTACATTTGGTACCTAGAGCCTCTTTCTTCTGCTGGTTGTAAATGGAAAGAGAGGATGGGGTTCCTCAGGCCAAAGTTACTGTAGCTTGGCTTCTCTACTTTATAGTGAAACTGACTACAGAAAAGGAGCAAGCATGGCCTGAATACCTCTGGCTTAAATATCCAGTGCTTTAAAGAGAACTGAGCTGCATTTTTCTGCAAATCTAGTTATTCTAAAATAAAAAGTTTCTTTTTAGAAAATGCAATGTTAAAAAAAAAGCATTAAGTCTTTAATGAAACACGTTCTTAGAATACAACTAATCTTTTCAAATATTTTTCCTATAAACAGGTAATTCAGGGAAAAGGGTTTGAAATTCATGTTCACTACAAGCAGATTTATTTCCAAAACAAATATTTTTCAAAGCTTTCCAGGAGACAGGCGTGGCTTGAACCCTAATCTACTGTGCATATTTGTAGTCTTCTCTTTAAATCTCACTTCCTTAGGAAGACTTTACTTTGCCAAACCTGCCTTAAAAACCTGATATTCAGTTAGTCATGATGCATAAGGCATTTAGTGAAATCAAATAACACACAGTTCACCCTTCCTCTAATTCAGTAGTGCTCTATCTCAGCTGCACGTTAGCATCATTCGGGGCTTTAAAAATCTCTATCCTGAGTCAGAACCCAAGCAGGGTGAGGAGGCATCCACGGTGTTAGCAATAAGACTGGTTACGTAAAAAAAGACTGGAAACAAAGAAGGACTGGTAGTTGGAAAATATGGCCTTGGTGACAGAAATGATGCCGGAGATCGCACAACAGAATTTTGCAAGACCAACGACTTCTTCATTGCAAATACCTTTTTTCAATAACATAAATGGCAACTATACATGATCTACACACGTGAACCTCGCCAGATGGAACACAAAGGAACCAAATCAACTACTTTTTCTCTGGGAAGAGACAATGGAGAAGCTCAATATCATCAGTCATAACAAGGCCAGGGGCTAACTAAGGAAGAGACCATCAGTCGCTCATATGCAAGTTTAAGTTGAAGCTGAAGAAAATTAGAACAAGTCAACAAGAGCCAAAATACGACCTTGAGTATATCCCACCTGAATTTAGAGACCAATTCAAGAACAGATTTGACCCACTGAACACTAATGACTAAAGATCACATAAACTGTAGAATGACATCAAGGACATCATACATGAAGAACACAAAAGGTCATTAAAAAGACAGTAAAGAAAGAAAAGACCAAAATGGATGTTAGAAGAGATGAAATAAAGAACTAAACAGAAGATTTTAAAGGGCAGCTAGAGAAGATGAAGTATTATAATGAAATGTTCAAAGACCTAGAGATAGAAAACCAAAAGGGAAGAACACACTTGGCATTTCTCAAGCTAAAAGCAATGAAGAAAAAACTCAAGCCTCAAGCTGCAATACTGAATTTCTATGGGGAAAATATTGAATGAAACAGGAAGGATCAAAAGAAGATGGAAGGAATACAGAGTCACTATACCAAAAAGCACTGGTCGACGTTCAGCCGTATCAGGAGGTAGCATATGATCAAGAACCGATGGTACTGAAGGAAGAAGTCCAAGCTTCACTGAAAGCATTGGCGAAAAACAGACTATAGGAACTGATGGAATATCAACTGAGATGTTTCAACAAATGGATGCAACGCTGGAGGTGCTCACTTTCTACGTCAAGAAATTTGGAAGACAGCTTTCTGGCCAACTGACTGGAAGAGATCCATATTTGTGCCCATTCCAAAGAAAGGTGATCCAACAGAGTATGGAAATTATCAAACAATATCATTAATATCACACACAAGTAAAATTTTGCTGAAGATCATTCAAAAGCAGTTACAGCAGTACATTGACAGGGAAATGTCAGAAATTGAAGCTGGATTCAGATGAGGATGTGGAACGAGGGATATCACTGCTGATGTCAGATGGATCTTGGCTGAAAGTAGAGACTATTAGAAAGATGTTTAGCTGTGTTTTATTGACTATGCAAAGGCATTTGACTGTGTGGATCATAACAAGTTATGGGTAACACTGCGAAGAATGGGAATTCCAGAACACTTAATTGTGCTGAAGCAAAACCTGTATATAAACCAAGAGATAGTCGTTTGAACAGAACAAGAGGATACTCTGTGGTTTAAAGTCGGGAAAGGTGTGCATCAGGGTTGTATCCCTTCTCCATACTTATTCAATCTGTATGCTGAGCAAATAATTTGAGGAGCTGGACTATATGAAGAAGAACACAGCATCAGGATTGGAGGATTCATTAACAACCTGCGATATGCAGATGACACAACCTTGCTTGGTGAAAGTGAAGACCTGAAGCACTTACTGATGGAAGAACAAAGACCACAGCCTTCAGTATGGACTGCACCTCAACATAAAGAAAACAAAAACCCTTACAACTGGACCAATAAATAATATCATGATAAACAGAGAAAAAGACTGAAGTTGTCAAGGATTTCATTTTATTTGGATCCACAATCAATGCCCATGCAAGCAGTCCAGAAATCATATGACGCATTGCATTGGGAAAATCTGCTGCAAAAGATCTCTTTAAAGTGTTAAAAAGCAAAGATGTCACTTTAAGGACTCATGTGCGTCTGATCCAAGCCATGGTATTTTCTATTGCCTCATATGCGTGCGAAAGCTGGACAATGAATAAGGAAGATCGAAGAAGAATTCATGTCTTTGAATTATGGTGTTGGTGAAGAATATTGAATATGCCATGCACTGCCAGAAGAATGAACAAATCTGTCTTGGAAGAAGTACAGTCAGAACGCTCTTTAGAAGCAAGGATGGCAAGACTTCATCTCACATACTTTGGATATGTTATCAGGAGGGACCAGCCCCTGGAGAAGGACATCATGGTTGGCAAAGTAGAAGGTCAGAAAAAACAGGAAGACCCTTAATGAGATGGATTGACAAAGTGGCTGCAATAATGGGCTCAAGAATAATGAAGACTGTGAGCACAGCGCAGGACTGGGCAATGTTTCCTTCTGTTGTACACAGGCTGGCTATGAGTCAGAACCAACTCAACGGCACCTAACAACAAAAACATACAGGGGGATTGTGGTGCGATGGATCGCTTTCATGACCTTTCTCGACATGGTCTTGTAACTCCCACCAAATGACTGGGTGGGACTATGCAAATAAGGTGCATGGCACCTTTGCGGGTGTGGGAACATGCAAACAAGATGTACGGAAACGTAACAAGGGGACCGGTCAGTTTTGTCATCCCACTAGGCTTAAAATGAGCCATCCCAAAGGCAGAAAGGGGAGATCTCATTACCACTAAAAACAGATGGGAGTGGAGCATGTCCTTTGGACCCAGGGTCCCTGCGTTGAGAACCTCCTAGTCCCAGGATATAGAAAAAGAGCTGTAACACCGGAGATGGTGCAAGACGGCAAGAAGTGGCAGCAGAGAAACACTGGCAGCAGAACCAGGAGACAGGCGTGAGATGGCGCAATGGGCTTCCCAATCCTCAGATTATGGCACAGTGGGTGTGCCAATACACTAAGTGAGAGAGCTGAGCGCCTTCAGGCCAAGGCTTCTGGGAGGAATGAGGTGCCTCTGGGCACTTACTGGTAGAGCTAAAGAGCTTTGTAACACTTACCCAAGCAGGGCAGAGGCCAGGCCAAGGGGACAAGGGCCACAGAGAGTCCTGCCTGCGGGCAACAGCTGAGAAGAGGCTGTCCTGATCCAAGAACTGTATCCTGAACTGTAACCTGTTACTTCCCTAATAAATCCCATAACTGTAAGCACGGTTAGTGAGTTCTGTGTGGCCATGGTAATGAATTATTGAACCCAGCAGAGAAGTAGAGAGTGCTGTGAGAGGAATGGCTGGTGTAAGAACTGGTCAAAAGGTTGGAAGGTGGAGGTATGTCTGACCTCTACCTCATAGCAATCAGCCTTGGGCTGTTGATGCTGATGGTGGCTCTCTCTTCCCCTCATGAAGTTAGAGGAGGTCAGACGCCCCCACCATGCCATTTTTATAGAGATTGATCAACCAATAAACAAAAGATAATGAGAGCCAGGTTTCTCACTGTTGAAAAAAGGTCTTACTGAAATGGAAAGGGAGAAAACTCAAATGAACCCTGTGGTATTGGACTGAAATTAGTTATTGATGTGAACTCATGGTTTTCAATATGTAGACATAAACATAATAATAAATACCGATATAACTTTATGTGCATGTGTGTGCATTGCTTTGTCAATGCAACCCCCACCCCACTTCCCTAGATGTCTCAGTCATTGCAAGGGATTGCGAAAAGCAACACCCAAACAGCAATGAATACACCTAGCACTCAGATCATGGCTTCTAAATACCATTCGCCATGG